GCTTGTATATAGAGGATATTACATGGTGACAAGAATATATGTATTTCATGTTCGAGTGGTAAGACATTGTCTTACTCATAAGATATTGTTCTGTTTTAAGGCAAAGCTATACGGTAATAGTGTTTTAGGTATATTCCCCAAATAAAGCCTCATTCATATATAAGGGCTGTGCCTTTTAGGAGAATTTCTCTCATATGTTGCCATTCCCATGAAAACCTAGCTGCAGTAATTTTTCTTCAGTATCCCTTCTAAACCTGGCTATCATTCTAAAATTAACATTGTCTTTCACCTATGAAGATTCCATTGGTAGGATAGGGAGGGGACTGATTGGTTGTATCATCTTGGTTAGTGAGCTTGGTTTATTGAAAAGTATTAACTGTTAATACAATCAAGATTAAATGACAGCACCTGAGTATCCAAAAGAATGACTCTTTCTTGTGTAACAGCCAAATCAATACCAGTACTTTGATTGGTTCCATCCTCCTACACAACACCCAGGCAATCAGTGACTAATCAATTATTTATAAATGTCAAAGAACAAACCAAAAACACTCAACAAATGTGCCACAAAGTTAAAGGAATTAAAAGTAAGGTTAGGGGACAAGTGATCCAAAAGTTTTGGAAATTATGCAATAAAACTCTCAGCTAAAGAAACAAAATGGATGGTTAGGGTGCCAGAACCTCCTTCTCTATTCTTTACAGTTTGATTTTAAAATATGACTATCCCCTGTGTGGGATACTTTTTTGATCATGAGTTGCTCCCTCCCAACCCAAGTCTATATCATTTTGTAAGCTTTCCCTTACAGGTTACGAGAACCCTATTTTACCTCTGAGGTGAAGGTAACTTTGAGAGGGTAGAGTGTCTTTACCAAGAACATACAGACCCAGCCTGATTTCAAACCCAAACCTCTCCATTCACAGCTGTCTAACCCATTAACCACAAGGTTACTGTGTCTGACACATGCTTTGCTTACATTTATCAATATGATATTGATTCAGCACTTTAGAGAACCTTCAACTGACCTGAACCTGTCTTGACTGCACAGGAAATAAGCAAGACCTAAAAACGTTTTGAGAGAGAAAGAAGTTACTAATAAAAATTGATTTCAATCATTGATCACAGTTACGAATTATTAACAATGTCCTTGCTCAAGCTCTGTGAGTGTCACCATGAAGGTAATCAAGAAAGTTTCCCTTGTGAGGTAGATCACTACAGTTCAACCCCATACTGCTCATGATCAGCCAAGAAAGTGGAAATATTTTTAGATCACCTGCTGGTAATGCTCTCATCAAAAGTGAAAACCAGGCAATCCCAGCCACAGTATTTTGCACTTCTCAGATTACACTTAACAAGTCTTATTAGAGACTAGTATATACCACACACGTGAACATTGCTGTTTGCAAGTGCTGATTGGCTAGTTTGTAAGTGATTAGCAAGTTTTATTCACTTCCGAGCAGCTGAAGAAGCTGAACTGACATATATAAACTAATTTTCAATTTCCGTGTAGTTAAAAACTAAAACCATTATTCCCCTCAGTGTTGGTGAAAGTGGCAAACATCTACCTCCCTGCTTCACAGCTCAATAAATATCCATCTCAATTCACCTTCAATTGGGTGAATAATTTTTAACTAGTTCTCATAGGTCCAAACTCCACAAAATTATAAGTGATTACATCATAACAGAAAAAGTAACGAGTCATCACTTGCATGGAAACAGCTGCTATGAAAGTTCACTGGAGCAAATCAATGAAAGTATCTGCAGGAACACAACTTGGTGCCCAAAAAAGCTGGTTATTCATTGTTTTTGTAGACCAACATGACTGTCATGATGTCAATTGAAAACAATGTGTTGAAATAATTTTTTCACTGACAGAGATACAACAATTCAGTTAACTTTAACAAAACAGTGAAGCTGAAGAATCACAAACCTGGAGTCAGTAAAAGGCCCAGCTCCTCCCAGAACAGAGAGAAGAGTTGATTTGCCAACACCTTGTGGACCAATGACCCCCACAACCAAGAAATCTGTTTGATCAAGAAGCATCTAAAAAATGACAAATAATTGAGTGTTAAAGAGTGATTGAAAAACTATCTATTAAGTTAGTAAGCATTTCTAAAAACAGTACTTCCAACAAATTTGTTCCCACATGAATCATTTTCACTATCTCTTAGATAAGAGCTTCATTCAATACTTTTGAAGTTTCCAGAATTTTTTTAAGACAAGTGCAAACCTTGATCACAACTGAATTTTCATCTGTCAAAACTCCATCCGACTGGGAGATTAAAAAAGGTATTACAAGAGATCATTTTTGCATTTTTACTTTAAAATATGTTACATTTACAACAGGAAAAAGCATCACAACTGAGTATATTGGATAAAATTCTCTGTCATAGTCCATAGATTATAATACCTCTAAAGCAGCATCATTCCACTGAAGATTCTCATCCAGCAGTTTCAATACTTGTGGTGCTCCATCATGACTGTGTAGACCAAGTTTGAGAGAGGCCATGTTGGTTGCAAGTGCATCAACACTTGCACTTGTTCCTGAGGAAACAAAACAATTCACTAGATTGCTACCAACAAAATTAGTATAGGTAATAACATGCTTTCAGTGCAATTTGGTGTTAACAAGCATGGGTAAATTTTTCAAAGACAACAAAATTGCACAAGCCTGGAGAGTGAGTGCAATTTGTTGTCTTAGAAAAATTTACAAGTGCTTATTACATCAAATTGCATGAGAAATCATGTTGTTACTTTTCAATAATTTACATGAAAAAGCATCACAGAAAGTCACATCAGACGAAATTTTGACAGCACGTGTGCAATTTGTAATTTACAATTGTGTTACAACTTTGCACTCATGTTACATTAGAATGCACTCCTTTTCAGCTAATCAGATGCATATAACTTTTTCATGTACGTGAACATTATACACAGAAAAGTAAAAATGTCCAAATTTAGAGGAACATCCCACACCTAGGCAATACACTTATTTTACCTGATACTGGCCCTCCTGTTGCACCACCCATACTGAGTGCTGTTGCAGTGCTTGTAGATCTCTCAGTTCCTTGGCCAGCTGGATGATCAGACAAAATAGTCTTTCCACGTGATGTGGCTGGCTGAGGGGCACTGGAACTTACTGAAGCCTCTGGTAACTGTTCCCTTTAGGATATGTAAGGTAAAGGTGACTATTTTTAGTGGAAGACATCTTCAGAAGAATAATTTATAGAAAGTCAAATAATAGACAATTTAACCCCTCCTTGTGATATCTCAAACCTCTTAGCAGCCAATGAGCTATATCAGTTTCAGTGACAGAAACAAAAACAACTTGCATACCTATTACAGCTCATAAATAGTGAATATTTATACTAGACCAATCTCTCACCTGTAAACCAATTTAATCTCTGGTAACTGAAACTGTTACTATTGATCCGCCTCAGGCACACAATTACTGCTCTGTAAATTTTTTACTTGAAGTAAACCTTTCCTTCCACTCCCTCTCACGCAAGGCTAATACTCAAAATGTCACCTTTAGAAACTCCTACCTTAACCAAGTTATATTTAAACTCAGTTGACAAAACAAAACTTATCATTCTCAATTTTTTAAGTGACTTATGAATCTTTGGCTAAATATCCAAATAATTTCACGCTCAAAAAGTAAGTTTTGGTCATGAATATTTTCATCACAGTTGACAGAGATTAATGACTTCATGTGTCAATGCATGAATTAAAAAATTTGATAAATGTACTTTGTTTCTTTTGAACATGGACAACTCTATTACCTTGGTTTTATCAAAATTTGCTTCACTGGCGTTTCTTGTCCCTAAAAATGTAACAGTTATAATATAATATTCATTACTTTATTCCATGTATGCCACTTCAAATTAAATCCACAAGTAATTTCAACATTCAAGCAGTATAAACATTATGAGAGTGCCATAAATATGACTACCATGAAATAAAGGGTGCTGTAGCTGAGTGATAAAAGGCAATGACTGTACTCCAGCCTATTGGCCTACCTAGCTACAACTTATCACCATTTCCTTAGCACAAAGCAACCAGGAATAAATTTAACATTCTCCACTGGATGGGATGCTAGTCCAACACAAGGTCTCCTCCCATGTTAAAAGACCTTGACCAGACAAAGGTGGTCCAAGAGAACATTGAGCATGTTGACAGCATTGCTGGTTCTTTCATAACAGTGCTATTTCCATGATGGGGAAACTTTTGACATTGTTAGCCTCAGAAACCTAAAATACCTATAGCATTGTAACCTGTGTTGTGATTTATTACAAAAAGGGTAGCAGTGGATACAATTTCCTCCACAGAGAAAAAAATTAAAGAAAGAAGAGTTCATTTATTTATCAATATTGTAAAGGCTATAATTTGTCCATCAGTTTAATAAAGGTGGCGAACTAGAGCAACTCGGATTTAACCAGGCAGGATACATATGAAAATTTTTATTGTGGCAGGACAACAGAATGGAATGGAAAATAGAAGCTGGATGCAAAATTGGAAAAGTCTATTTTGGACCCTCCATTTACAGGTAGGTCAAAGATTCAATTCTCATTGTGTAATGAAGAAAGAAGTAATAGCCTTTGCTTCATATGTTTGTCTCAGCATGGTAAATATCCCACTCATACCTAAATAGCATAATATTTGCGCACCCCTATAGTGCAATTAAATAACAAACAATTATAACAATGTAGTATAGTAAAGTGAAATTTTGACCCTGACCCTGTCTGCAGAAGGTTTGGTGAGTATGATGGGTGTCTTCATGGGTGGTACTGTGGGGGATGCAGCATGTGCTCCCATGGGACCATCTCCTTTACCCTGAAGGAAAAAAACCATGATGCTGAATAAAAAACGATAGGTGGACTAGCTAGATGATATAAAATTCCATAAATTTATTCCCTTATTCTATGACTTGAAGGCCATCATCTATAGCATTTCCTGTGTTACAAAAAAAGGGGGGAAAAGGGAACTATCTAAAGTTTATAAAAAAAAAAGATCTAAAGTGTGTATCCCGACAATTTTTTTTTCAAAAGCTGCCAATTCATTTTGTGAATGTGCAAAAATTATCTTAACCAAATGATACCTTCAGTCACAACATTTTTTAGAATATAAAGATACATCTAAGTAACTAAGCTGCTTTTTGTATGAATGAACTTCCAAATATACGAAGACGCTTCCGCCTATAATGTTTTCAAAAGCTCAGTAACTTAAAACTGTTAGCCCATATATTAGCGGATTATAAGTTTACTTATCTCCAACAAGCGGTTACAGGACGCAGTAAAAAGGTGGGGAAATTTGAAAATAACATTCCTTACCCTTGAAGGCCGTTCTCTAAAGCCTCTCTCTCTTCTACGACCGCCTCGTCCTCGACGAAATCCTCTGTCTTGATCCTCCATTTTGGATATCAGATTGGTATGTCATGTAAGAACCATCGAAATCACTCTTTCTTTCGTTGCATGATGGGAGTGCAATACTAACATCACGTCAGATTCCTGAGTCGAACAAGAGATCGTTCATATTTACAGCTTGAGGATGGATTTGAGGAAAGTTCCTGATGAAGAGAAAGTCAACTTATGCAGAAAATATATCATACCTATATTCCTTTTTATCTATGGTCACAGCATGTAGTTCTACGCTGGTTTATGTGGTCAATATTAGCAGATAGGATTTGTGAATTGATAACCTTAGACGTTTGATCTCAATCACTCCATGCTACTGTTAATGTTTGTAGGACGTATTACTTGTTAGTCCTGCTTTGGTACTTTAGCTGTGGATTTCAATTATAGCGTTTACTGTTATTTCTTTTTTCTTGTAATGTGATGTGATTTTGGAAGTATTTTCACAGTGTTGAACAAGGTAACTCTAAAGACTTAGTACTCCAAATATTATAGAAAATTGCACTTACTACAGCAAGGCGACACACAACGTCATACCAGAATTTGACTATGTAGACTTATCGAATGAGTTGTAATTTTTCTTTGTGTTATATTCTTTTTCGCTTGTTTCTATTTTCCTTGATTCACGTCAACACATTTCTTAGGAGGATTCGCTCTGCTGCCATTTCTTTGGTTTATCAATGTAGTGTGGTTCTTTAGGGAGGCGTTCATCAAACCAACCTTCACTGGACAATCAAAGCTGAAATCTTGTAAGTTTACAACAACATTAATCTAATGCCACCTGTCAAAGAGGGAACTTACTCTCAGAACACAATAGCAACACCCATTCTAGCTGGATTTTATATTTCAAAAGTGGCAGAGGTTCGAGTTCTCACAGGTTTTTTTGTTATCGCTAGTAATTATCTTCTAGAATATTCCTGTATCAATACCTCTAACTGCCAGAATTCTTGGTCCCCACTGTCAGTTAATGACCAAGTTTTTTGTGCTGGAATTTGTGGTCCAACCATGGAGTGCGCAGGCCATAAATCCTAACAGAAAAAACAAGGTTTTGTGATATACAGTAGGAAAAGAGAAAACAAGGTTATTGCAATATATATTATATCTCTATATATTATATCTCTGGCTTTTAAATAGAGGGAAAAGATATCAGTTTAAACTACCTTTTAAATTTAAGGGGCTGTGCAAGGAAATACAGCCTGCTAAATTGATCAATCATAGCACTCATACTGAGACTGAGAGATACAATGACCTGTGTTATTTTTGACAAGTCCTATTGTCCAGATTTAGGAAATGTTTATTTGGTATAGGCCTCAACCAATCTCATGTCAGTTTACTCAATAGTCTGAGACAGAAAGATACAGCATCATGGCAACCATTTATACTGATCAGGGCTGTGTTTGAGTGAACTCGGGATGCCACATGGGACCAACTTTTATCTTTGGACAACTCTTACAACTGTGCATTTAAGAGACTAGACCTCTGAGACAAGAGTCCTCAAACACCCAGTGGTCGAACTAAAGCCAATGTATTGCTAAATTGCATGTAGCATACCAAAGTAAAATACAAACAACATAGTTCAATTTTGATGAAAATGTTGAGGATGTGAATATAACAACAGTTTGGTATATCTTTCTTTCAGATGTTATTAAATCAGCAGTAGGATTTCTTATATGGTTCGCTGGTTTGACGGCATGGATTATCATTTATCAGAAATATAGAGCAAGCTGGGGAGAGTTTGGAGACAAAATTTCATTTGTCATACCTCTTGGAGAACCATAAAGCAGATCAACATTGCAATTTTGTTTACATTTTGTATATCTGCAGCCATAGAAGCATGAAACATAGTTTAAAATCTTCATTTCAAGGGAATATTACTGTTTTTATCTCAAAGTCAGAGGTATTCAATCAGTCTCCAATCCTCTGTTCCCATTCTTCACATTCCTTGCAATGCCTCCTGCTCTTCCCTTCTTTGCCCTTGCTTCTTGTTCCTCCTTTGATAGAGTTTGGGAGATAGCAATCAAATACTACATCACTCTTGCACATTGATCAGAAAAGTGACAGTAACAAATGCTCTGAACTTGTCACAGTATTCACCAAACATCTGCAGCAAAGGCATTGGCCATCCTATAGTTCATAATACACTGCTCATTCTGGCTGATAGGGGGCTGGCTCTGATGAACATTTTCCATGCTGCAGGATTGAGAGCCTAGAAAAGTACCTCCCTTAATGATTGAAGACCTTAGATTACAAGATGGAAACGGCAGTATTCTTAATAAGGGTGGGAAAACAAATGTTTTAAGCTATGTTTCATGCTTCTACCTAAAAAGTTTTGTGAAAATGAAAAAGAAGCCCTTTCTGAGAGAGTGCCTCCTGACTCTATGGCAGCTACAAATGGACCAATTAAAGCACAAATTAATGCAGAAGTTGTAGAATATTACACATTTGAACAATGTAAATATTTGCTGCAAAGCCCAAAGTTTTTTTATTAAACAGTTAATGAGTTGTCAACTGTGTGCTCTATGGATTTTTTTTTATTTTCTTCCACAATCATGGCAAGTGTGTTATTAGCTTTCCTCATTCATGCTTTTGACTGGTTTTATGCTTCTTTTCTTAGAATTCATTTTCGTGACCTGGAACATACGGAAAAAACTGATTTTCTAAGGTTTTTGGAAATTAAGGAAAGGTGTAGATCACAACTTTGCATCCCTCAAACCCTGTAATTTGTGGTGTGGTGTTGCAGAAAGCATGCATACTTCTCACACTAACAATTTTTTGAACTTTTTTTTAATTTCAATAATTTCCCACCCTTCCCTTTCAAATCTCTGACTTTGATTTGGCAAAAGCTCCCTAGCACAACTCAGTAGTAGTTCCTTTTCAATTTTATTTAATGATCAGCAAAAGATTTGACCAATGAATTTGTGATGGCAAATGATTGATTGATTGATTGATTAATTGACTGGCTCGCAACAGCCCTCCTCCTCTTAGTTAGATTCTTGCTACAAGAACTACCATCAACATTTTATTGAGGGACACACCATACTTAACACAAAAGTTACCATAAAACAGTCCTGGATTGGATCCACCCCAACAAACCATACTTATTGATCCTAGTTCACCAAAATACTTGGCGAAGGTAATGACCAGTATGAGGCAAGTCTATGTACTTGCTCAAGTAAAAATGAAGCAAATGTAGAATTACTATTTCATGTGCACAAAAAGCTTTTACTTTTATTTAGGGGACTGTGTCTACATATAGCAGCCCTGATATTTTCATGTTAAACAATGGTAAATACAATTGATTGCCTGTGGGACTACTGCTCTGTTTTAAAATAGAGTAGGATTGTACGGAAATATTTCCCAGTTTGGCACCAGGTGGTTTTGCAGCCGACCAGTTAACCTTTCAACGAGCCTGATTCTTTCTCTCTCTGGGAGGACGGGAAAGTGAGGGTGACAGGGACGAGAAAGACTTGGGGCGAGAGAAACTGCGCGCTGGAACAAGGCTCGCCAACAATCCTGGGTAATTGAGAAAACCAGCATGGCGGAGTATTTGGCCTCGATCTTTGGAACAGAAAAGGACAAGTAAGGAAATTATGAGCGATCTTTCATATATTTTTGAGCTTTTCAAGATAAATTTTGTCTTTTAGAAACTAACTTTTGCTTAGTTGTGTTAAAATTACTTTGTTGTTTCTTAGAAAATGTGCAACACCGCAGAGTAAAATGTGTGCCATCTGACTTTTCGAATTCTTTTCATCCAATCGACTTATATCATCTTTACGCGAAGATTCTGAAGTGAATTTTCAGCCTTACGCAGTTATCTTACCAAGTTGTATCACTAAGAAAGACTAAAAGACTGTAAATTAAGATTTAAACATGGAAATGTTTGGTAAATTAAAACTTAGCTTAGATATCGGCACGGTACAAATGATGGGTTCAAGTGATCGTGATAATTGATAGTGATCTACGACGTACTGCATATATTTTCAAGGAGATTGTATTTATTTTCTCGTAGCATTGGTTATCATGGAAAGATTTTCGTATAACCCCATACTGTTTTAAAATAAAGCCATAGTCTCAAAGGCAAGAACTGTCTGTATAATCAAGTGAGAGGCTGTGCGGCAATCTTGCCAAATTTAGATCTCCTAGCATTCTCAAGTTTTTATTTTGATTGGATTGTTGATTTTCCCTTCAGAGTAAATTGTTCTTTCTACTTCAAAATTGGTGCATGTCGCCATGGAGAACGCTGTTCAAGGCTCCACAACAAACCAACATTCAGTCAGGTGAGCTGTTCATTCCATTGTTTGCCATCTGTTTCTTAGTCTGCCTATGATTGTTTTCATAGGGGTGAAAAGTAGTCACACACTATCTTAGTAAACCTTCATTGTAAGTGACAATTTTTTATGTAGTTGTTGCATTTATAACACTGGGGACATGCCTCTGCAAGACTCATTTCTCATTCAAATTTCATAAATTTGCTATTCCAAGTGCCAAAAGTTATATTTTAAAGCTCTGCCTACTATTCTAACATGAATAACTAATTTTCTGAATCAACTGATATTTTTACTGGTCATGGAACATGCATCCTCTCCTATTAATGACTTTTTAAACCACAAACACTTACCGTTTGACTTGTGAAGCCAACCACAGAGTCAGTCGTAAAAATCACAGTTCACTAATATAGAGGAGAGCAAGAAGTTTAAATGACTCAAACTGAAGACATCTTCTTGTTTTAAAACTTATTCTATGCCTTACTAACTATCTTGTTCATGTTAACTGTTCCTTCTCCTCCAGACCATTTTACTTCAAAACATGTATCAGAATCCACAGAGTGCAGCTCAGGTTGCTGATGGGACAAGTGAGTTCATATTGAAGCAATAAAATGCTTTTTAAGTTATTCCTTTAAATTTAAGTTTCGCCACGGTGTACTTTTAACAATGTTTTGGTTTGCAGAATATGGAATTCATCTTGCATGACTTCTCTGGAAAGCAAACCTTCACTTTGTCTCATTATTGCAGGTAGTGCCATTTCTGATGTAGAGGCTCAGGAACATTATGACAGATTCTTTGAGGTTTGGCTTAAATACAGTATAAAGTGAAAACATTCTTCTTTCACATTTTTACAATTTATAAGCAGACAAAAACTAATATCATTCAGTGGCAAATAAATTGTACCATCCCTAATCAATATTGTTTTTCTTACACAGGATGTTTTTTTGGAGCTTGAAGAAAAGGTATGTAAAATATTTGATTATTTGATATTAACAAGCTAATTTTAAGTCCCTTATTGTGTAGGAACAGGCTTGAATTTTTTTTCTTCATCTTTCCTCCTAGCTTTAATGGAAAAAGGAGAACCATATTTAGTTTTAAAAGTACTATACATACTCGGTTAAGTTTTTCATCTTGTGCTTTTTTAGAAGGCTACTTGTAAACAAAAATTGAATGAGATTTGTACTAACTTGATTACTGGTAATCCTGACATTTTTGTAGTATGGTGAAATTGAGGAGATGAACGTATGTGATAATCTGGGAGACCATCTAGTTGGAAATGTGTATGTCAAGTTTCGCTATGAAGAAGATGCAGAAAAAGCTGTCAACGATCTGGACAACCGTTGGTACAATGGTGAGATTTAAAATCTTACTTTAATTGCCTTTAAATGATACATATTAAGAACAATAAATTCTTACGTCCTATATTAGCCAGAGTGTTCTTGTGAAGAGATTGACTAGCCACTGTAGTGCAAAAGCGCATAACAGTTTTCATTCTTTGTAGGTCAACCCATTTATGCTGAGTTATCTCCAGTCACTGATTTCAGGTAATGTGGATCTTCTTTAAGCCTGGTTTTCACACCACTGTTTGTTGCCAAAGTCCCAGATGATCAGTAATTTCACTGTTTTGCAACCATCCCAGTGTTTCTGACTAATGAAAACTTAAAGTTGTATACTTCCCCAATTGTCTGGGATGTTCAGGAACAAATTGGAGAATCAGGAGCATTTTCATTTTCCTCATGCTTCTTAGATTGCTGTGATGATTGATGGTCATCATTAATGATTTCAACAAAGGTTTGGTTTCAAGTCATCAATGGTCTAATATTCATACAAGAAGCCATTACAGTCATCGTAGACCAGTATGTTCATGTGGTCATGCATGCACCTCACAAAGCATTTTGTCTTCTTTTTTACAGGGAGGCATGTTGCAGACAGTATGAAATGGGGTAAGTACCAGACTGTCATCTTATTGATTAGCTTGATATTTTGTTGTCACTGAAAGATACTGTGCAGTGTAATAAGTTAGAAGCATCTCTGTGATGTTATCAACTGTTTAGAATTATGGTTTACAAATATTTGGTCCATTGTCATACATGAATGTTACTTTTAAGTTGCTATACTCAGCAATTTGATGGATTAATCAAATATTCTGTAGGGTTACTTGTAATGAAACCTTAACTTGTGCCAAATGTTAAAATTCTTCAACTTGCTTTTTTTATGACCTCTCCAGAAAGGCTGGCGTATGTTTGCCAGTGGACATATCACTGCAGACTACATGTATGCTTAGGTGCTACACTGTAAGGCTATTTAAGCTCTTGTACAACCTCATTTGCGTAGTTCATGTAAAAGCATTAAAGCGTAGCTGACAGTGTCTGACTGTATGATCCCATGATCTGTTATGCAGTGAATGCACACGAGGAGGGTTTTGTAACTTCATGCATCTGAGACCAATCTCAAGGGACAGCCGGTAAGCCTGTTGTTCACTGCGTTAAATCCGTTTGATAGAAGTCTTCTTGTATGTTCCTAGAGAATGTTCTCGAGGCGGGTTTTGTAACTTCATGCACATGCGGCCCATTTCAGGAATACTGCGGTGAGTTTTTAGGTTGACACAGGTGGAGAGAAAACAGGGAAGTTTACCGTAAGTTTTGCCAGGAAATGCTGGAAAATTACGTCCTACACAATTATGAGAATACAATTTATATATGGACAATTTTGGTTAGCTTCACCAAGGCATTTCCAACATCAGCAGAACCTTTGATTCAACATAAATTCCAAGCAGCATCAGAAAATGAAAGTCCTTGTATTTACAATGCCCTCCCCCCCCCCTCTCCTTTCACAAATATATTGCTGATTAGTATCACTGGGCAAATAGAGTGAATTAGTCTTTCTGTTAGGTGGCTCATTCCAAATCAAATCCATCTTGGATCAAGAGTTTTATTAGTGGTTCCAAACATCTGAATTTTGAGGGACCCTCAAACAAGTTTGTAATGATGACCAGATCCTTTTTGAAGAAATTGATGCAGATTCATTAAGTATACTTTTTTCTTACTGGGTCTTTGAGAAGTGTTTTCTACAGATTCCCAATATGTTTAATGTCAGTTCCAATTCAAAATTCATTCTTTAATGGCAATTACATGATTAATAGAGATAACTCGCTGATCAAATGTAGGTGATTTGGCTGTCAACAGTTTGCTGGTGCATATACTGCAAGAACATTCTTATATTTGAAGTCTTCGTGTGTGTTTTTTTTTCTCTTCTTTAATAATTGGATGGTTTGAGTTTAAATTGAAAGTTACCAAACTCTCAATTCAAAAACAAGTAATGGGTACAGGATGTTTGTTTATCAACAAAAAAATATTCTATCTGCTGCGTGTTCTTTAAAAATGTGTTGTTCAAATAGTGAGCCACCAAACTTTTTATGATTACACCAAAGAAGAATCTCAGTGTCCACACTGAGATGAAAACAACATTATGATCTGTTCTCTAATTACAAACAATGACAAACAACCCTGCAGTCTTTCCACTGAGCTACAAGAAAAAGGGTGTTTTCAGAGGTTTCCATCACTTCATCATTTTGAGCTCCTTTAATCATTGTCTGCTTCAAATCCTGTGCTTTTCTTTTTTTTTTTTTTCTTTTCTTTTTTTTTTTTTTTCAAAAAATTTTTTATCAATGTAAAGTGTTGCCTATAAATTTTTCAGTGTAAAATACATGCATCAATCTCCTGAAATTGTGGGTTGCTTCCTTAAAAGCTTTCCAACCAGTGATATTTGCTGTAGCATCACTGTCATGTTGGTTACAACACACATATTACTAATAGTGTTTACCTTCTTTATACAGACGAGAGCTGTATGGCCGTAACCGGCGGAACAGGAGAAAGTATGTGTTATTCTTTTTCTTTTTTTGTGTACAATGATTGAATATTCCTATCCAGACTTGAAACTTAAACTCAATACACAGTTAAGAGACTCTTCACTAAATTCTGAACACTTGAACTTTCTGTGACAGTACTAGTTTGATGAAGAGTTGTCTCCAAGCCCTCATACTTCTTTCTCAGCACTGTAAGAGTAACTGCTGGTTTGATTGGGAACAATGGTGCTTAGGTTTGATTTGACGCCCAGCATCTATCTATCTGCAAAAAATGGCTCTGCTAACTTGCTTGCAAAATTCAATATGAAGTACCTCTGTATTTCATATTAGGGGGCTCGATGTCATTACCAAACAATTTGTGCCCCAACAGTATTCTGTAACCTAAAATATTGCCTGCATATAAATTGACAAGACTCTACTACACTCACCTGCATACTGGTACTATCAAAAGCATCCTTAATTTGTCTTGTTGCGACAGCTGTGCGGCAAGTCCTAATTTGATGTTATACTTAAGAACCCCTGTTATTTCCTGTTTGATATTAATTTTTATTATTATCTTTTCAATTAACCCAATGCATTTTAATGTTATTTAAAGCCCCATCCTCTCAGCCACTAAGTGCAGAGAAAAAAATGAATAACCAGATCGAGCCACAGCGTGTGAAGTGAACATTTCTATCTATTTATCTTTATTTATTAGAGGTGCTGGAGGTGCTGGTGCTTCTGGTGCTCCTGGCGGAAAAGAAACACCACCACGGTTTGTAAAAATAAGAAACGGTCACAAAGATTTGTTATGTGAAACGTTGTGTTCTACAATCATTCCTCCTTGTCAAAGCTTAAAAATTATCAATTTGGTCACCTTAAAGAAAAAAAAATTATGTTTGGGAAATTATTGATGTACAGACCAAAAACTCCCTGTTTAAAACACTGCTTTTCAAGTAATAAACGGATTTCATTGCATTTACTATTACTGCATCCAATCATCCGGCTCTCTTTTAGTGTGATGATATGTCTCTGTCCTTAAGATCACTTTAGTTTGATTTTCTTTAAGATTTTTCTTCCTTATTGATTATGTTCATACACTTTTTAGTAAAGTTTCACTGCAACGGTTCCGTTAGTCTCTGTAAATAAGGCCCCATGAAACTCAGTTCCGTAAAAGATTCTCATTTTATCCCCTTTGTTCTCCGACTTCATCTCTCTTCTATTCCTGGTGTGTACGACACTCGCTTTCCATTTGAGCTCTGAAATGAATCATAGATATACATACAAGAAAAGCATAGCAGCAGCCTAAAAGTTACAGCCAAGTTGTGCTTCTCTTTCTTCTTAAACGTTGAAGAATGGGAAGTTTGGCCCCCAAAGTAATTTTAGTAGAAAAAGCTGTCCATTAACCTAAATATTGTCAGATTACTTTGATATTTTAGATTTTTTTATTACTTAGAACGAAGAACCTTTTATGAATTGAAAAAAGCTCAAATCACAGTAGAATATTAAGATTGTGCAATATCTAGGTCCTGGGACACTCTATGTTACGCTAGAGGTTCTATAAGTATCCTGCAGTTGTATTGGTTTTGCCCAATTTATACCGTTATCAGAGAGCGCGGATTCTCCATCTCTTCTACAGACCAGTCTTGCAAGCACGGAAAGCTTTAAATCAGGTGTATCCTTGAGGAAGCTTAGAATTTTTTTGTGTCTCATGCTCGTAAAAAACTTTGAACGCGAGTGTCCGTGATCGTCATTGTTCCCTCGTAGTTAAAGGGTTACCCCTAGGAGTAATTTATGGATCCAAGTTAAAATAAGAAATCAACGATTTTGTTTTGGATTTTAGGTCTCGTTCGCCCTCGCCTCCATACACTCGTCGTTCTCGATCCAGGTCTCCACCCCGTCGCCGATCCAGATCCCCTCCACGCCGGGATAGATCCCGTTCACCGCCACGCCGCGATAGATCGCCACGTGATCGTGATAGAAGAGGTCGACACTGAACAGACGCACCGTCATATGACCGTAACAGAAGTGTTAGACACAAGTGTGCAATACCATGAAGAAATTTTGTTATTTTGTATTGTATAAGTCGTTAGAACCATAACCCCAGTTACGGTCACATAGCGTTTTACAAACTCTTTCTCACTCCCTGTAGGAGCTTTGTCAGTTTTAAAGTAGGTAACACCTTAATTGATGCGAGAGACACCTGGCCTAATTACTTCTTAACCAGTGGCTATCTTTCCTAGCAAATTATTACGTACCTGAACGCATCAGTTGTTCTCAGAAGGTTGCAAAACTGAAAATTGTTACGAGGAAGAAACAAGATGAACTAGTGTTTAATTTGTAAGTTACAAACGGTGTGGGTTTCTTTTTTAGTGTTACCATCGTTGTTTCGTTTTCTTTTTGATCCCTGATAATCATCTCCATCTTTAAACTTCTTCATTCTATTCTGTGGAAACAAATATATTCCATTTTGCCGCAATTCTGAAAAGTGATAGATCACAAAAGACGTCATAATGTGGCAAAAAAGATCAGTGACACAGGCAGCTTTGTTTCGTGAGCCACTTTCTCGTTTTTACCACATTTTTACGTCATCTCTGATCTATTATTACAGAACAGACGCATGGTATCATGGAATCTATCTGTTAAATAGATATCGTGACGTAATTCCCACAATGATTCTGAGTGTGATTTGTTCGATAACTGACTTGTGTAATTATTGAAGGAAATTGAGGTTTCATCGCTCTAACTCTTAGTTGTCTTGTAAGAAAGATGCTAGCACTTGTGAGAAGCCAAAGGAAGCGAGAAAAAGGTCAAACTCGATTTACGGATTAAGATTATTGCTTTTACACCCATTTGAGCTATTAATAAAATCAATCCTAAACGATTGTTTCCAAAGATTCATAGTTTGTTTTAAAAAAAGGGAAGGTTAAGCCGAATGGGAATAGTCAAGAAATGTTAACGATAAGCGTTCAACTTTTTGATTAGTTATTATATTTAGTGAACGACAGTGAACATGAAAATCTCTTTTCGAACTGCAGATTAACAGAAGATGATTTCCTTACTTCCTGAAGAGCTACGTTTAATCAGTGTGCTTTGCGCGCACTTGTTTTTGTTGTTCTCTGGAAACTCATTGTTGTTCCTCACAAACTTATGGAACGGCATTAAAAACCAAAACGGTTGCTCTTGCCAATATACTCATGTTAAAAAAACAAATGAAAAGGAATTTACCGCCCAGAGCGCAACTACAGCGCTAGTTCGGAAGAGGTATTATGACGACGTTTTTTGTGTGTGGAGCACAACCAAAGACAAAACAGAAGAATTTGTAAGGCTGCCACAATACGACCAAATTCACGGCTGAAATATCAGCCCCAAAAATTACATTCCTGGAAGCATAAGTGTACAACGGCGATGGAATTAACAGGGAATCGCTCATTTTGACGTGCAAACGCTCTAAGAAGAGATGGGAGACCTTGAACTTTTGTCAGTGTCATTCACCGGCCTCAAAGAAAGGATTCGGCAAAGGAAAAGTGCTCCACGTTTAATAAATATGTACAGTGTCAAAATACGCGTAAAGAATAGAAAATACCAAGTTGAAATTCTAGAGAAATGTATCTTTGAATCTATTTTCACCGGGAAAGAAAAGTAAGTAAAAACTTGACGGGATTAAGCTTGTGATCGATCGTGAAGGTTTCCTCGTGTGACGGTCTCCCGGGTGCCAAGGGGTGCTTTCTTTTTTACTTTCCTCCGAAATGCTGTGTAGCAAGGCGTTTATGAACTCGCTGCTTATTTCCTTGGCAAATCCTAAGGCTGTCTTTCGCTCATTCCATGTTTTAAAAGGTGACTTAGAAAGCCACATGATATGGCGGCTTCTCATCTTCTCATCTCATTCTCAAGCAGACAATGACTGTAATTTCTTACCTAGACAATACTCAATCGTTTTTACATGACAATTTTATATTTATTTTTAGTCAGTCAATTTTCTCTCTATGAATTTCACTAATTACTTTTCTCATTCTAATTTCATTCTGCCTGAGCCAATTAAAAGTCGACCTATCAGTGTGAACCAATCACACGATTCGTGACGTCATAGTAATTCAATCAGTTTACCTGTTCGTTAGCGTTTCTCACGCCCAGAAAAGAGAGAAAATTAGCTGATAGACGACATATTGGTGTTTAGAGCGTGTTCAAACAGCTTTATACGTGGTGGGTCGCTGAGCTTGTTTTCTAATTCATGTGCCCGCGTGCATCACGACTGTTGGTACAAAGACTCAAAGCTCTAACTTGATATTTGCTTTTTAATCTATTTTTTAACAGATCCTGGTGATTTTTACCCGAAAAAATTCCAGCTTTGGTAATTAAACCCTGGTGAAAGAAGCGCGATTGAAGTAGGTCGAAAATCAAACGGTAACACCCATTTTTTTTTAAGTTTTCTTGCTGCTCCTAAATAATTGCTGTAGGTGGTTACAATCGGGTAAAGGTAGTGTTAAACTTATCTGCCTCGAAAAGTTGGGGTTTTTCTCTTTTTTGTTATTGTTTTTGGTTTTTTGCTTTTATTGCGTCTCCGTTTAAACCTTTTTAAGAGCTCTCCCAAATATACTTATGTTTAGACGAGACAAACACAGAAAGAAGACATCCATAGCTTTACAAAATATTGCCCTGAATTATGCAGGAATCTAAGACTTCCTAAGCGTTTTACATGCTCTCGTCTTGGCAGTATTCTCGACCAATTAGAGTCGTCGTAGGATCTCAGTTATTTCGAAGAAGTGTAGTTACGAAACCTTTGGGTCAGGTCTGTGGCCCTAATGTGTCTGCTTTTAGTAATGTTCTGAAGTTTTTTCTTTTTTTTTCCAGTTACGTATCAACCATGAAAACTATGTACTTGATCGTTTTGGCAGTTGTGATTGTATCGGTAACTTCACGTTCTATTGAGCAAGGTGAGTAAATGGGCAAGATGCGCAAAGTCAATGGTGTATATCATGAACTGACTGAAAAGAAAATTCAAATGGGAAGATGAAAATGTCGAGGGATTCAGCAGATTTTGCAAATTTAGTCTCAGTGTTTGAAATTTATCTGGTTTCAAAGAGATGTAAACAACACTTATATTAAGTTTGCATGTAGTTCCAATGTTGTTTTGTGTCGCACTTAAAACGAGGAACTTTTGTTTGATAGAAAATGACGTGGAGCGATTCTTCAATGTTGTCGCCAGAGACCCCTGCCGTGACCCGAACTGTTTGGAGTTTTGTGTGGATGAGCTTGGAGAACCAGATAGAATTTGCGAAGATAGCTGTTGCAAGTAGTCAAAGCCTGATAAAGCCACGAAATCTAAAGGAAATAAACATGTCATGAAATATCTCTATTAGGGTTGAAAAGTTGAAATAAACGCGGATTTTTTCCTCGCGTGTGACTCTCCTTTCTTCTTTTTCTTTCTTTTTTTTTTATTCTCTTTTTTTTTCCTTATTCGCAAATTCTCCTTAGAATCCGTCTTTTTTTTTTCTTAAAGTTAAATTAAAGGCACAGTGAAAAATATCATTTAAATTTCTCCACGGAAGTTCTTCCATTTGATATGTGAGTTGAATTTGAACAAAAAAAAGACCACTCCGGCTCCAAAGGATCGGGGGATTACTTTTGTTATTAGAGATTAAGCTCTCAAGGGTGTGGTCATCAGTCATTAGGTTACTTTACTGTACTTTACTACAATACTGACGATTACAAATGTCTCATATAACTGGTCGTCATTTATGGATAATCTTCAGATACGCTTTGCTGAGTTATTTCGTAAAGTGACAAACTGTTGGTCCCTTTGTCATGAAACAAACAGAAAGAACTTGTGGCCTATCTGAAATTTTGCATGCCTAAGTAATAAGGCTTAACGCACTATATAGCTGCTCTATTGTCCTTTCATTGGAACTCAGTTAATTCAAATAGCGTAATAATCAAAGCGCTTGAAAACAAAAACTGGCATTAGGGTTTTCCAGAATCGGGGATTCAAAAGGTCTGAGTGCTCATCATAGAATATTGGATTTGCCATAAATGCCACAAAGTCATCAAACAAGAGGGCCTATTCCCACATACATCCTCCTCAATCCTGTTAGCTTACTATGGTCATGGCATTTCAAACATGGTGTATATGCCACAAGTTTTCCATTTCCTTTACCAATTACTGTGTAATAGTGTTTATATGTTGAGGAAATGGTTGGGTTGAAATATAATACAAAGACTTGCCAGTAGATAGTTTTATTACAGAGACTTGCCAGTAGATAGTTTTATTACAGTTCTCATTCAGTGTAACGCAGGGCTGGAAAATAAAGTAATAAGAGCTCCGCTTTTAGGCTTCGCTAAATCCATATATTATTTTCTAATTCAATAAGAAGACCAAATTCCAAAGCTCCGAAAGCATTTGGTTACTATTAATGATCTTTTTATTATTATTTATTTTTTTTGCATATTCAATCAATTGTTAGACCATTCTCGGGATTAACTGGCTAACGATAAAATCGACTATTTGTTTCCATTGTTCATGACCATGGAATCTTGTCGAGCATCGCAGAAGTTAGATCCTTGCCTGCATGGGTCCAATTCACCATCCGTTGCCCAATTTTTGTAATGAATATCGATAGACAAACTGTTCGTCTAATTAATATGATGCCTTCATTTTGTTCCCATATTCGAACAAAAGAGACCATTCCGGTTCTAAAGGATCGGAGGGATTACTTTTATTATGCAAGATAAAGCTCTGAATGTTGTAATCATAAGTCACTAGGTTACTTTACTGCAAACCTCTTTGAGTGGTTTTTCAGTGACAGATCAAAGTCAGATGTAAAGGTAAGAGTGTATTTGGATGGACAAATTTACTAAGCAATAATCCAAGCTTTCCATGGAGGAGACATGAAAAGGAAAAGAGTCTTAGAACGAAATTGGTAACTGAATGGTATTTACTAATACTTAAACACAGTTTGCACGGTAAACAGTCAAGGCCCTAAAAGAGAGAATTCTTGGTTATTTGAAACGTTTTAAAAACTTGTGTATGTAATTTTCATCATTATGATATTGAGAAGCTACTATACAATTCATGACGTACGAACTAAAAAGGCACCAAGAAGGTAAAGCAAACAACCTGAAGAGAACGAGTGGATTAACGCGCACATGATTTATTCAAAAAACATATTTACTCAGAGGTAGTGCCCGATCTTCCAACTAGACATGACATGACGTTCTGTAACCCAATAGCTCTGCTGTTTTTTTCTTCATTTCCAAGCTAACTGGACAAGGCAAAATCCTAACAGAATGAACTGTTACACTCGCTGTCCTGTTTTCTGATCGAGGAAACTTATTAACCCAAGAAAAGCAACACGAATGCAAGAAGAACCTCCCTATTCTCTCCAATGCTAACATTTACATATGTCTCATAATTGGTCGTCGTGCTTGGTTAATCACTAGAAATCTTTTGTCATGAAACAAACCGAAGGAACTCGTGGTTTATCTGAAATTTTGTATGTCCACTCTATCGCTGCTCCATTCCCTGAAAGTGCTTTCACTGGAACTCAGTTCCTTCAAATGACGTAGTAATCAGGATGCTTAGAAAAACACCAGGATTTGGCTCTTTTAAAATCGGCGATTCGCAGCGTCAAAAGCTCTGAGAGCAATTAAATGTTATTGATGTGCATATTCAGTCAATTGGACTAATAATCAAATGGCTTTGTTCGCAATATCACCGTATTTTTTTTCTCCGTCACTCCTTGTACGGTCTCCTAATATCGATAATTTTTGTTTTTTCCTTCACTCTTAACGATTAAGTTTGCAGTGGAAGTCTTCCTTTGGCGATCTAAGCAAAAATTATGTTATGCCCTTAACTTTTCTACCCTGAGAGTTTAACTTTAAGGAACTGAAATACCACTCA